AGGAAACATCCAATGGAAAAAGACAGTCTCACACAAATGGTGTGGAGAACTGGACAGCAACAATGCAGAAGGTTAGAAACTAGACCACTTTCTCAAACAACCATTCCGAAACATAAACTCAAAATGGACTAAAGGACCTGAATGAGAGCAGAAACCATCAAAACCTCTAGAGGAGAGAAAGCAGGAAAAGACCTTCTCTTGACCTCAACTAGCAATTCTCTTACCGACACACATCCCCAACAAGGAGAGGGAATTAAAGTAAAAGTGAATTACTGGGACCTTATGAAGATAAAGCTTTCTGCATCAGCAAAGGAAACAACCAACAAAAGCTAAAAAGGCAACCAACGGAATGGGAAAAGATATTTTCAAATGACATCTGGACAAAGGGCTAGTATCCAAAATATAAAGAAAGCTCACCAAACTCCACCAAAAAAACAAATAACCCAGGAAGAAAATGGGCGAAAACATGAATAGTACTTCTCTAAAGAAGACATCCGAGGTTAATCAGGCAATAGAAAGAGGTGTTCAGCTTCGCCTATCGGGAAACTGAAATCAAAACCACACTCAGATATCCTCTCACGCCTAAGTAGAGGGCCAAAAATGAACAACTCGAGGACTATAGATGCTGAGAGGATGTAGAGCAGGGAACCCTCTGCACTGTTGGTGGGAATGTACCAGTGGTCAGCAGCCTCTGGAAGCGGTGTGGAGGTTCCTCAAGAAAATTAAATGAGACTCACCCCTATGACCAGCAATACTGCTAGGGAATTTATCCAGGGACACAGAGTAGCTGATGCATGGGAGCACTTGTGCCCCACATGTCATGCACTCTCAACTAATACCAAATTATGGAAGAGCCTAAATGTCCATCAACTGATGAATGGATAAAATTGTGGTTTTATATAATAATGGAGTACTACGTGGCAATGAAAATGAAATATGGCCTTTGTAGCAACGTGATGGAATGGAAGTGTGATTAAGTGAAATAACCACATGAAAGATTAGTACCATATGGTTTCACTTTATGTGGATCCTGAGAATGAAGAAACCCATGGGGAGGAACAAAAAAAAAAAAAAAGAGGTTAGGAGGAGAAGAGCCAAAGCATAAAGACTGTTGAGAACTACGAAGAGACAAACTAAGGGTTGATTGGGGGTGGGAGGGAGGAAGGGTGGGTGATGGGTGGGAGCAAATCTTTGGGATGAGCACTGGGTATTATATGGAAACCAATTTGACAATAAATTTCATATATAAAAAAAAAAAAAAAAAAAAAAAGAACAAAGGAAAAAAAAAATAACAACATAGGTTGAAAGTAAAAGGATGGAAAAGATATATAAACACTAATTTTTTTTAATTGGAGTAACTATGTTAATACCACATAAAGTAGACTTTAAAGCAAAGAGAATTGCAAGAGGCTTAACATGATAATAAAAAGATCAATCCAATGAGAAGATAACAATTCTACCTACACTTGTGGTGAGTATAACATATAAACTTGTCCAATCATTATGTTGTACACCTGAAGCTAATGTAACAGTGTGCGTCACCTATAATTTACAAAAAAAGAAGATAAGAATCCTAAATGTGTATGCACCAAACAACAAAGCTTCAAAATACATGGAACAAAATCTGATGGAGTCAAAAGGAATAATGGACAAATCAGCAATTATAGTTGGGGCCTTCAGTACCCCAGTCTTAGCAGTTGATAGCACTACTAAAGAGTCAGCAAGGATTTGAAAGAACTGAACAATACCTTCAATTAACCATATCTAATTAACATTTATAGAATGCTCCACCCAACAACAGAATACATATTCTTTTCAAACAAACATCGGACATTCACGTAAAGAGACATATCTTGAGTCATAAAACAACCTTAGCAAATTTAAAAGAATTGATATCACAGAGTATGAAGTCACACAGATGTCTCCTGACCATAGTGGTATCAAACTAGAAATCAATAACAGAAAGACAACATGAAAATCTCAGGACACTTGGGAATTAAAGAACAGGCTTTAAATAATTCACAGATCAGAAAGAATGCCACAAAGAAAATTTAAAATCTCATAGAATTTAATGAAAATTAAGCAAAACGTGAAAATTTGGGGGGATGAAGCTAACACAGTGCTGGGAAAGAAGTTAATGCACTAAAAGCCTACATTACAAAAGAGGGAATGATTTCAAGTCAATGATCTTCTTATATCAAGAACCTCTGGTCAGTCTTTTCAAGGATGTTTATATAGCAAACTGCCTGAGAAATTAGAGATAGTGTCTCCTTTCAGGGCAGAAGGTGACGTGTTGATTATCCAGTATAAAGATAATATCTAACTCCAGAGCAAAGGACAAGCATGCTTACAGTCCATTATAGAATATACAGTTTCCTAAGTTCAGGGTCCCTCTCCTTTAACACAATCTACTGTGTGTGCAAGTGTCACTTAGCCTTCTTCACATCACTCTATGGGAATTGGAACTCAGGAAACTGGTGCCAAAAACTGACATTCTGGCTACTGCTATTGCTGAGTAGTAAAGTCCTTCGTCAGTGACCCAAGAGTCTTGAATCTTCTGCCAGCATCCATGTTAGTCTGCAAGTAAGGGAAAATTGCAGACCTTTCACAGTTCTTGATGTATATTCACTCAAAAACCTGTAAGCAAACGTTTGTAACAGCTTTATTTATAAACACCCAAAATGGGAAATGACGCAGATATCCTTCAATAGGAAAACAATGGATAAACTATTTTACATCCATACATTGATATACTAGTCATCAATAAAAAGGAACAAACTCTTGATTCATGAAATAACTTGGGTAAATCTTAAATACATTTTGGGAAGTGAAAGAGGCTCAACCCAGGAGGCTACATACTATGGGGAGGAGGTAGAGGTTGGAGTCCAGCTTCCCCACTTGAACTCAGAGGGGTGCAGCATCTCATTACTGCTGGGTGGGTGTGAGCACTGTTGGGCGGGGAGGGCTTGTTACACTTGGTAAGGATGAGAGTCTTGGCTCACTACTTGGCTTTCTCTGCCACAACCCTGGTAGAAGTATCGGGGCACTTTATTCATTTATCTGACTTGACCTTCTTGGGTCCATGGGTTCATGTCTGTCTTGTTTTAGGAAAACTCTCAGCCATTCCTTTCTTCAAATATTTCTCCTATCCTGTTTCCTTTCTTGTGTTTCCAATTATGCACATGTCAGAATGTTTGATACCATCCCACAGCCCTTTGATGCTCATTTCTGTTTTGATTTTACTCTTTGTATTCATCTGCATTACTGTATTTTTGACTTTTAGTGTTTCCATTCAACTGTTTCTTAAGGTTTCCATCCCTCTGCTGAAATTACCCATCTGGTCTTTAGTGTTGTTCACCTTTGCCATTAGAAGTTTTAGAGTATTAATCACAGTTATTTTAAATTTTCTTTCAAATAGTTTCAACATCTGTGTCATATCTGAGTTTGTTTCTGAGGAGTGTTTTTGTCTCTTGGTAATATGTTGTTTATTTCTTTTTAGTATGCTTTTTAGTATGCTTTTTTTTTGTTTTGTTAAAAGCTGGACTTCACATGTAGTATATAGAGACTGAGATAAATATTATTTATGTCTGGAAATGAGCATACCTTTCTTTTTGAGGCAGAGGGGTAAAATTAATCCGGAGTTGGGCTAGGTTTGAGGTTTGTTACCATTACCATGTGCACCAGGCCCCTCACATTTTTGTAGTACTTGGGGTTAGAGTGGGGGATGATATGCTAGAGACTTGTTTGTCAGTGTCTGCTCCACCCTGTGATTTTGATTTTCCCTTCATACTGGGCTTCACACTGTAACTCTCTTACCAGTTCCTTGCCAGTCAGTGTTGGTAGGGGAACGTAGGGTGGGTGTTCTCTGAATGAGCCTTACTCTTAGGCAGGCTGGTGTCCCAGAGTCACTCCCTAGAGTGTGTTTTTCTCAGTAGTTCTGAGCCCAGAACCTAGCCCTGTTCCTTTTCCAGGAGTGGAGGGTTTGGAGAACTTCCCCCAGCTCTCCTGGATTTTCGCCAGTACCCTAAGGGTAACTCTGTTTGTTGCCCTTCCTCCCCGCCCCCCACCACACACACACAGATACATACACACACACATTAGGGCTTTTGTTCCGAGGGTGAGATGGAGGAGAAGGGCCCCTGTGTCACTGTTCTCCCCCAGTTCTGCACCATGTGGGAGACTTTCTTGAGCACCCTGTGGGCTTTGTGGTGAAAAAGCCTCCAAGAGAGTGCAGATTCCCCTATATTTGTGGCCTGTGGACCTTTACCTTCTCACCAGTATATACCTGGCTAACCTCTACCAGTTCACCAGTCACCCCAGCCAACCTCTTCTTACTAGTGTTTGCCGCATCTCACCCCAGAAGCCAGTGCTTGCATCTCGCCAGTCTCTGCACATGCCTGTCTGTCCCCACGTTTGGGGCAAGTCGATTGCCCTGTGACCTAAGCACTCTAATGAGCCTAACAAAAGGCATTTACTTGCTGTTTGTCTGGCTCCTCTTTGTTACAAGGCTGGCAGTGGCATTCTTTCCAGTGCTCTACATCCTTGGGCAGAAACTGCAGGGGTTTCAAAAACTTAACAGTTTCTTTGCTGTACCCCAGATTGCTGATGTTAACACACTCATGTTTGAATAAATCCTGGTTTGCCCTGCCAGGCTTATATTCAGACTGTATGTTTAAGCTGTGTTGACAGCCGAATGAACAGTAACTGAGTTAGTTACACAAAGATAAAGTTGCGTTAAGAACTCTGTCGTCAGGACAGGAAATCCATAGTCCTGGCTTCCAGCTGTCCTGGAATTGTCTGGATAGAGGCTTTTATAGAACACCCAGGGATTTGGCTCCTTGGAATTCCTGGGCTTAAATTATTATCTCAATATAATTTTATCTTTTATTTTGCATGTACTTTTCTATCTTTTTTTGGAAGCAGAAAATAACTTGTTTGGGAGATCTGTTTTGAGACTCAAGTATGTGCTTGGTATCTTTCTCTCTCTCTCTCTGTTATAGGTTGGAAGTTCCACAAACACCCTAAATGCTCTGCAAATTGCTTTCGCTGATGAAGAAACACAAGTAATCTACCTTTTGACAGATGGGAGACCTGATCAGGTACTTACCAAAGTTGGGGACACAGATTCACCGGTACCCTTTGAATGCTGAGAATGAGTTTGAGGGACTTTTATAACTGCCATTGAAAAGCTGTTGAGAGATGGTTCCTTGGCTTAGGGACCCAGAACTGAGGTGAGAAAATACACTGAGGAATTCTTTTGTCTGCTGAAATGCAGAGGAGAATTTATGTGACAGCAAATGTTGTCTGGTTAATGCACCACACACCCACAGGCCTGGAGACCAAACCCATGAAAGGAGATATCCACCTTCCACTGAGGACTGGTTTATGTTTTATTACAAACTAAGAGTAAGGAGATTCTTTTTTATTTTTTTTTTCCTTCAGGGACTCCAAATCTAAACATGTCACTGCACAATGTCCTTGGTTTTACCCCTAATTTTAACTTAGTAATCACTTAAACAAAAGCATGCCTTTCTAGTGAAATGTTCTTTGTTTTGCTTAGCCTGACTGGAAAATATTTGAAAAGTTTTAGTGGAGTCTGTTCATCTTCTTTTGAGCTTTGTGAATGAAAGACTAATGCTCTGGGCATTAAATAAACATACGGATTTGCAGGCCAGTACAATGTAAATTAACCGCTGAAGTGAATTAGTATCAACTTGCATCCTTCATTGTGAGGTGTTTGCATGTGAAGAGTGCTAGGCAAATACTGTAAAATATCCTAGTCAAATGGTCCAGGGCTTAAATAGTAAAGCAACTGGATTTTATCACAGCATTAGATTTATGGCAGAGAAGTTATATGTAAAGTGAAATTTTATTTTGAATGATTTTCCAATCAACTTCACTATGCTTTCTGTTTAGAAGCAATTGTGCTTTGCTTATGCTCCACGTGTGGTGCCAAGGTTTGAGGCTACAAAGATGAATAACATCTTACCCCTGCCTTAGGGGCACTTACACTTTGGAGGATGTGCTGGACATGTATGGTTAACTGTGATATGACACAGGGTGTGGGGTTGTTTGTGCTGTGAGATGTCTGGGAGCTGAGTGATGAATTCTGCTGTACAAGATGGAGAGAAGGCTGGGAAAGAGTCCACTGAGGAGGGGGCATTTGAGCTCTGTCTGGAAAGAGGAGAAGTAATTTCCTTTTAAATTATTTTTTTATGTTTATTGACTTTTGAGAGAGAGAGAGAGAGAGAGAGAGAGAGCGAGCGCTGGGTAGGGACAGAGAGAGAGGGAGACACAGAATCTGAAGCAGGCTCCAGGCTCTGAGCCGTCAGCACAGAGCCTGATGTGGGACTTAAACTCACAAACTGCGAGATCATGACCTGAGCAGAAGTCAGATGCTTAACGAACTGAGCCACCCAGACACCCCAGGAGAAGGAATTTTCTAAACAGAGATTATTGGTGTCTTGGGCAGAAGGAACAGAAGTGTGGAAGTATGTGGGCTACCCAGAGAAACAATCTGAGAGCAAGGGCAATGACAGAAGAGTGTCAGGGCTGAGGCTGGAAAGTTTGGTTGAGGAAGATTATGAAGGTCCTTGACGGCCACCTGGAAAGAGTGAGTGGATTTTACCACAGTAGGGGCTGTAGTGGGGCAGGTGGTCCCATTCACCTGTACTTCAGAAATATGCCTCAACAGTGGGAGGGAAAGACTAAATCTAGATGGGAGCTGGTGAGGGCCCACCTCAGGTAGGAAACAGAAGTGGGGAGGAGAGGACTCTCCTCAGAGATGAGATAATAGAAGTAGCATCAAAGGATGTGGGGACCAGTTTGGGAGCAGAGGAGGATGGAGTGAGGAGAAGATAACACCAAGAGAGAAAGGCATCATGATTACTGATGTCTGGTTTATAATGATTATGTTAGGAACTGATTTAAATTTAAATTTAAAGAAGAAGCAAGCTTGGGAGTTGCTGATGGAGGAAGCTGAGTTTGAGCACCTGTAGTCCATGGATGTCCAGAAGCCTCTAAAAATATGGGGCTGGTGTTTGAGGAATATGGGGCTTGAGATTCTGATTTGAAAGTTATCTGGACAAGGGGTCTTTTCTTTTTTAATAAACTCTTGCTGATTTTACTCTTTGCACTATAGGCAATTTAGAAAATATAGATAAGCATATAAGCATAAAAAAGAAAATTTAACTCAGTCATAATTCAATTTTGTTTTGCTTTGTTTCATCTAACATATGCATTTTTTGGCAAGTCATGAGAAAGTCTTCCAAAACATCATTCACAATGACTCCATCATATTCCATTATATAAATAAATTTAATATAACTTCTACCTTGGAAATTAATTTTGTTTATTTCATTTTGAATAGTAATGAGTGTAGTGTAATAGTATACCATTCACATGGTATTACAAAGGTATACAAAGATATACCTAGTTACAAAGGTATAAAGGGCATGCAGAGAAAATTCTCCTTCCTACCTCCTGTTCACTAGCTAAGAGGCAATGTATGTTACCAATTTCTTGTATCTTCTTTCAGGGATTGTTATGCAAGCAGAAGTGTATTTATATATACTCCCTTTCATAAATATATAAATGATAGTGTATTCTGCACCTTTATGTAAAACAATATACCTTGGAAATTGCTTACTATCATTTCATAAACAGCTTCCTCATTTTTTATAGGTGCCTAGTATTCCATCACATGGCTAAGTTATTTAGCCATGTGTCCTGGAGATGGACATTGAAGTTGTTTTCAGTCTATTTTATTATTATATTATTCAGTGCTTCTGTTATACACGATGCTGCAAAAGTAACTATTTGCATGTGTTTTGCAGATGTATAGCTATAGCATAAATTCTGAACAGTAGACTCAGTACAAAGGTATATGTTTTGATAGATACTTCCAAATATCCCCCAGAGAGGATGGACCAAGTAACACTCCTGCTAACAGCATATTGGGAAGGATTCTTGTCCTATGGTCCACCATGTTGGGAAGGATTCTTGACCTACAGTCTATCATTACTTCTGAGAGTCTGGAATCTTCCGAGAGTATATGCAGAATGTCCTTGTACATTTCTCTGGGGAGAAGATCTCTCGGTTTCATCAGAGGGTCTGTGGACCACTTAAAGATGAAGGACTAAGGATATGGATGATAATTGGAATTAGAAATGTACCGGCGACCCAAATAGTAATTTATAAACTCCTAGTTAGGCATTTTATGTTCATATCTGCATTTTCCTCACATGCAGTCTATTTCTCTTGCATTACCCCTCAGATTCTCTCAAAAAAGCAAACGAATATTTGATATTCATGTTCTGTGTAGAGGACATTAAGATGTATCACACAATCTCCATTTCTTTCTGAATTTTCACTGACTTTGTAGGACCTGAATATGTAAGGCCAATGCTATTATTCCCGATACTCAGCAGAATTTTCTGCTTGAAAGCATACACAGAGATGCTATTCAGGATTTAATTCCATAGATACCAACTTACTGCTTATTTGTTAAATGTCTGGGGAAGAATTATACAGCAAGACAAGTCTTAAATTAACCAAGTGAAAAGAATTCTAGTAATATTCATCTTCATTAAAATGGAATTTATAGGTGTCCTTTGATGGGCATCTCTAGGTGCAAATGGACACTGCAGGGCCTCTGCCAGGAGCAGCCCAGCACATCTTTGGCCATTGTCATTTTGGGACTTCTTTGAAGTTAGGGATTTACCCTGGTAGGAATCAAGAAAATTGGAGTGAGGAACGCTTTTGCACCATTCCAAACAAAGAGAAATGAGTAAAGCCTAATATGAGGTATACCAGGGGTGGGGACATAGAGAAGGCACAGTGTGAGCCACCTGCACAGCCAAACCTCCTTCAGGCAGTTGGGAGAACTGATCCTTGCCTTTCTTGCCACCCCAGTTGACATTTGTGGTGAAAGGGTCATCTGGCTACTGTGTAGACTCAGAGAAGAGAGAACTGGGGAGAGTCTCTCAGGCACACTGCTTGGCCTCATTTAGGGATTGAAGGGACCTCCATGGGGGAACATATGAAGGAGTCTTGGGCTGTGAAAGGCTTCCTCAATGTCATGCAGGGGTTCCACATGGAAAGGCCCCGCTACTTTCTTAGACACAGAGCTGCTAGAATAAGTGTGTGGAAGGAGTCAGGGTCAGTTGGGCTGGTGTGCGTGAAAGGTTTACTTCCATGTTCTGAGTCTTCTCTTCAAAGCTGTGAGAACATAAACTAGGGAAAGGAATCCTTGAGTGGGGTGCAGGCAGGAGGTCAGGAATGGCCAGTTTCCGTTGCAGGGATGGAGCTCCTTCTGCAGTCCAGGTGTGCCTGCACCCTCTGCCTAGCTCTCCCAACACCACACTGGGTCCAGTTTAGCAAACACTACTTGAGGCTGGGTGAAGGTGGGGGTTCACGAGAATACACTAACAGACTTTCTCGTGCCTGCGCTCTCTTTAGCTGTATGGAATGACGGAAATAGCTTTGGAGCTAGAGAACAGGGTTCGAAGCTCATCCCCAGCACTGCCCATCTGAATGACCTTGGGCAAGTCCTCTACTGTGAATTTCCTCATCTGTGGCTTAGAACTAATACTCCCTATTCATGAGTAAATGAGATGATGTTCCCATGAATGCATTCCACAGATATTTACTGAGTACCTTTTATGTGCCAGGCATTGCTATCAGTCTAGAATACAGTGGTAAGCAAGATGAACCTGTCTTCAGTGAAACTTATGTTTTATAGGGAAATAGGCAATGAGCAAATAAATATATGAAAATGTCAGGTAGCATATGAAAAGCTGAAAATGCTACCCACAGTACCTGGCACCCACAATCAGTACTAAATCAATGTTAATTGCTTTCCCTTCCCAAATATATCAGCTATAAGTCAATACAGGAATAGTTCCTGGCTAAAACTCTACAAAATTAACAGAATTTAGGTCTAGCATATCCAGTCTGGTATCAGGGGTAGTGGCCAGGAGTCCCTGGTAAGAAACAAGGATAACGATAGCCCCACCTCAGAGGGTTGTAGGGAGGATGCAGGCAGAGAGCACAAGCAGAGCTCTTAGTGCTTGGTATACAGTATGTACTCAGAGATGGAAGGTAGGCTGAAGGGAGGGGAGGCAGCAGAGAGGACTTTGCTCTGTGCTTGCAGTTGACAAGAGTGATGAGGTCAGCTCAGTTAGGTTGCTGTTTGGTTAGGAAACCAGCTGATGGCCAGAGGGGAGAGGAGAGAAAAAAGGATGAGAGGTGGAGGTGGGCTCGTGGCCAGGGGCAGGCTCAATTGCTGCAGCCAGATCCAGAGACAGAGGCTGTGTGTAAGTGGTGGTTGGAATGAGGCCAGACCCTTGGGGACCACTTAACTGTCACCTCCCTGGGTGGTGTGTGAGCTCCATAAGGCCAGCCATTGGTGCATCCCGAGTCCTCTCTCCCTTATCACTCTGCCTTTCCAGGGCTCATAAGATGAATATAGGAAGGGTTAAAGACCAAATGATAGGAACTAGAAGCAGAGAATAGAAACTGGCTGAAGGAGCCAGCAAGTTGGGTCAATCAAAGAGGGACTCCTGGCACTTGGAAACTCAGAGGAAGTGGGGACAGGACAATCAGAAGCAGTTTCTGAAGGTTCCTAGCTGGGCTGTGGTTGTGGTGGTGGAGAGATGACAGAGGAATTTATCAGTTCATCTTTTCTGAGAGCCAGATAATGTTAACATTACTTGACAGTCGATCCTTACCAAGAGACAGTTTTTTTTTAGAGATATCTTTTTAACGTTTTTTATTTATTTTTGAGACAGAGAGAGACAGAGCATGAACAGGGGAGGGTCAGAGAGAGAGAGGGAGACACAGAATATGAAACAGGCTGCAGGTTCTGAGCTGTCAGCACAGAGCCCGACACGGGGCTTGAACTCACAAACCGCGAGATCATGACCTGAGCCAAAGTCGGACGCTTAACTGACTGAGCCACCCAGGCGCCCCTAAGAGACAGTTTTCTTGCAAATGAGGGGAACAAACAGTCTGGCATTGCTTCTAATACCAAAAATTAGCTTTGAATTTCAGTCCTACCATGTAAGAGCTTGATGACCCTAGGAAACAATCTTTCTGAGTCTCAGTTTCTCCTTTGTCTGTGGAGCCCATACCCATTGGGCCAATTAGGGTTGCATGTTACTGGGGAGAAAAGCAGAGGAGCAGACAAATGACTGTAACAATGGAGAGATTTATGTTCCTATGGATAAGAAACCCAGGGGTAGGTAGTCTAGATTCTATAGCTACTCACGGATGTCTCCAAGAAAACAGACTTCTTTTTATGTTCATTCTCTACCATCTTTGTTTATGATTTCCACCCTCATGGTTGTAAGATGGCTGCTCCATCTCTAGGGTGTGTCCATTTTCCAGGGGGTGCGGATGGAAAGGGGAAGGACATTAGGACATTAATGTTGTTGTTGTTCTTGTTGTTGATGTTGTTGTTGTTGTTGTTAAATCTTTGCCTTTTTACCAGAGAAAAGGAATCTTTCCCCTGGGACTTCCACCTGTATCTCAGTGGACAAAACTGGGTCACATGGCCCATTCTAGCTGCAAAAACATGTCAGAAGATGAATTGTTATGTGTATATGGTTGTTTGTTTGTTTGTTTTTTAACTGGGCACATTACTGTCATGAAAAGAAAACCAGGGCTCTGCCAGTAAAAAAAAGATGGGAGGAATTGATATTAGTAGACAACTATCCGTCTTTCCAGCACTGCCTCACAGGATGATTGTGAGGACTAACTGGCATGTTATGCTCCCAGCAGAGTGCCTAGCACGTACAAGGACCCTCAATAACCGTCTCTTCTTTCACTCTGTGGGAAACTCATTGACAATGGCCTTTCTGAGGCTGGAAATTGCTCTTTTGGAGTAGGTGCTTTGGAAGCCACCTTGAGATCCAGTGGCCTCCTCTCTAGAATCCCAATAGCAAGGATGTTTTACCCTGATACTTTCAGTGCTCTAAAATATAACCCAGAACTTTATTATTATTATTTTTAAATATGTTAAGCTTATTTATAGTTTGCTGTGTTTCTTTTTTTTAATTTTTTTAATGATTATTTATTTTAGAGAGAGAGAGAGAGCATGAGCAGGGGAGGGACAGAGAGAGAGGGAGACACCAAATTTGAAGCAGCTACCGGCTCTGAGCTATCAGCACAGAGCCCAACACGGGGCTCAAACTCATGGACTGTGAGATCATGACCTGAGCTGAAGTCAGACGCCCAACCGACTGAGCACCCAGACACCCCTGCCCAACACTCTAAAAGCATGAGCTTTAGGCTTAGGTGCACCTAAAATTGAGTGATTTAGTTAGTCACATCTTTCTTCCAGATTCTTTTCTCCACCAAATTGTGAGCCCTCACCTCAGAAGCAATGGCTGAGTCATTGGTCTTCATACTCTCACCACCTGGCATTGTTTGCTTTGTTTATTGAATTGACACCTTTCCAAGAAGCCACTCATCACTGTATAAGGAATTACTAGTTGAGAATCTCACTGTCTATAGCAAATACTAAGGACTTTCACATCTAATTTTTTCTTTCTTTTCCTCTCTTTCCATCTCCCTTTTTTCCCCTCAAAATGTATCATTTCAGCCACCTGAAATGGTTGTAGACCAAGTCAAAGTTTTTCAGAAAATTCCCATTTACACCATCTCCTTCAATTACAATGATGAGATTGCAAATGGATTTTTGAAAGAGCTTGCTTCTTTGACTGGAGGAGAGTTCCACCTTTATAATTTTGGCTGCAAGGATCTGTATCCTCCAGAGGCTATTCAGGTAAGAGCTTAATGAACTGAGAAGAGAGTGTTCACTCTGTACAGGCTGGAGGCCAATGGATAATACCTTAGTTGATAAAACTGCAACCACAAAGACAACTTAGTCAAGCAAATGAAATCACTTAACCATTTACTCCAAGATGTGGTCCAAGGACCATCTGAACTAAGGCATTTGTGAAAATGCAGATTTCCAGGGTCACACTTCAGAGCTACTAAATTAAACTCTAGGCATAGAGGCCCAGAAATCTTAATTAATATATTTTGTTTTTCTTCTAGGCTTTTTATTATGGAAAGTTTCAAACATACAGAAAAGTAGAAAAGTATATAGACCCCTGCCTCATGTACCCATCAGTCAGATTCAATAATTATCAACATTTTGCCAAATGTTAGGAATCTGTATTTTTTTTAAGTTTATTTTTGAGAAAGAGAGAGAGAGAGGGAGAGAGAGATTGAGAATCTCAAGGACACTCTGCACTGTCAGTGCAGAGCCCGACACAGGGCTTGAACCCGTGAACCATGAGATCATGACCTGAGCCAAAACCAAGAATCAGACACTTAACCGACTGAGTCACCCAGGCATCCCAGGAATCTGTATTTTTAACAAGCATCCCAAGGGGTCCCTACTTGGAACTTTGTTAACCTCTGCTGTTTATAGACATTTGTGGAAAACTTAAGAAAAATTCAGATCCTAGGAAGTCTCCCGACTTCTCAGACTGTATAACCATGTGACCATCTGATAAATCAATTCATTCTAATGGGCTGATGGGAGAAACTAAATAACATTCTATTCTCCAGTACTCCAGTCTTGGCCTGAGGATATGCATTTCAAGAATGCCCTTCTAGAGAATGTTTTTTATCTTATCATCTCTCCTGCAGAGTCACTTTAAATCCAGGACAAGCCAGAGCAATGCTGACATTTGAATAAACCACTAGAGTCTGGGGAATGAATCATCTGAAAGGAGAAGGATCGGAGGGAACAATGAGCTCTCTGAGCTCACACAAGGCAGGGAATAGTGACTCCCTCCATCAGCTAGACTGGAAAACTTCATAATCCAATGGACATTGGGTAGAGTATAAAGAAGGATCTTGCCTCAGGAGTGTGAAAAACCAAATGCTGCTCCAGGTCTGCCTAGAAAATCTTCAAAATGCAAGACCCGAAAGGATTGATCTATTTCCAAGGAAGTTAACTGCATCCCTGAACAAACCCCAAGAATAATTATAAGAAAGCAAAAATATCCATGACCCAAGAAAGTAAAATTAACAGTTTCTGACATTAATTCAAATAGTACCAAGTATGTGAAAAAAGCAAGAAAATACAAGTCCATAAGGAGGAGAAAAAGCAAACACAAAAATTAAAACATGTGCATAACTGATGCAGATATTAGTGTTAGAGCATAAAAACAGTTATTGTAGCTCTATCTGATATATTCAAAAAGGGAGAGATGAAAAATACAATTAAGACACAATTAAAAATTTTAGAGATGTAAACTACAATGTATGAGGTGAAGAATACATGGGCTGAGAAGAACAGCAGGTCAGACATTGCAGAACAAAAGATTAGTAAACTGTAAGGCAGCAATAGAAACTATCCAAAATGTAACAGAAGAAAGAGAATTAAAACAATAAACAAAAACCTAGAAAATAGGGCATAAGTGAGCTGTGGGAAACTTCAAGTAGTCTAATAGGTATGTAGTTGAAGCAATAGTGCCAGAAATTTTCCAAATTGGTTAAAAACTATAAACCCACAGATCCATGAAACACAATGAATGCTAAGCACAAGAAACAGGAGGAAACTACACCAAATCATATCAGACTTAAACTTCTTAGAAGCAGTGACAAAGAGAAAATCTTAAAAGAATAGGGTGAAAGAAGCTGCATTATTTAGAGGAACACAGATAAGGATGACAGCATATTTCTCATCAGAAACAATGCATGTGAAAAGACAGTGGAGTTATATTTTTAAAGTACTGAAAGAAAAAAAAAGCTCAGTGTAGAATCTATAAACTGAAAATACCTCTCAAAAAGGAAAGTAGAATAAAGACTTCAAAGATATACAAAAACTGAAAAAATTTGTCACCATTAAACCTGCAGTAAAAGATATATTATAGGCAGTACTTTCGGCAGAAGAAAAACTATACCAGATGGATATACAGATCTACACTTAGGACTGAAAAGCAAAGGATAACTGCATGGGTCGATAATTAAGACTTTTTTTTTTTACTTCTTATGTAAATCTACTTATAAGATAAATTACCAGAGGGACTTTCAGTTCCAGCAGTAACGGTGTTGCCCCATTCCTTCCAGATCCTACATCTTATAGCTAAAAAAAATCCTGGATATAACACAACAAATAAGCATAGGAATATTCTGAAAGGTGGAGAGAAGAAAATAGAATCCCTAGGGACCTCAGAACTTAAGGAATGACATGGAAGTAAGTCTTGGGGGATTTGTTAATGCCTCCCATATATCCCAGATAGCACACTACTGAACCCTCCAATCTGGAATCTCTAACAGGCACAGTCAAAAAAAAAAAAAAAAAAAA